TGATATGAAACTCCAAGTGCAAGATAAAGACCCCCCTAACTAAGGAAAGATAAAACAGACCATTAAAAGTGTTCAAAGTCTTGGGAATGTCCAAACACAGGTGCCTCCCATGACCATGGTAAAAAATTGCATCAGAAACTCAGTTGTTTAAACTTCATTTTGGGTTCCAGAACTCGTCTGTTACTATATTATTAAATCTGAAGACAGTACCAAATTAGGAGGATTGGCAAACATAGTAGACGAGTCAAGTGACATCCAAAAATAGACCACATGCAAGACTGGGCAAATACTAGATAGATAGCTACAGATTTAATGCAAACAAGTTTAGAGTGTTACTGTACATGTTATGTAAAATCCTCTGAGATTATTTGAGATCATTAACAAATTCAACCCATCAGAATTCACCAGAATCACGGGTGAGACACAAACAAGAGGACAGAAGTGAAAACACGATTCATATTTGGACTTTTAACAATCAAACCATATATACTTTACAGCAGGAACGAGTAAAGGTTTACTCCCTGCTGAAAAGTGAAGAAAAGAAACACAACATTTTGACTGTGGAGCCTTCTTTAGGTGTGGTTTTTGTTCTTTATCGGCAGGGAATTAACCTTCATTTGTTCCTTTGCAGCCTACACATGCTGACACAGCTGCCTACTGGAACTTTTTCAACATACTGTACAGCGTGTGACTTTACATTAAATGACTGTCGAGATACAGCATGATCCACTAAATAATTGCATGCTTATTAAGTACAATACAAATAAAAATGTGAAAATCTTTAATTGTTTGTATAATGCAGGATTTATACTAGTTTAAATTATTAGATTAAATCATGTTACTTATTTTGCCAGGTTTATCATGAAAACACACAATTGAACTTTAGGCTTTAGTGTTTAAAACCAAATGTCTGTAACCAGTAACTGCAGACTTACAAAGTTACTGTTTTGCTAACAGTAATAACAGGAATAAATTCTCCCCCTGTGAGGCCAGTGTTATTTTACAAAATCCAGGTCTGACAAGTGTGATTGAGACTCCGCGGAAAGAGAAGAGTAAGATAATACTGACATCAATATAAACGTAATACAGAAAAAACACAGGGAAGATAAACCCCTACCATTGCAGATATATCACCTGGTGTTCATGTGCAATACTGCCCTCCACTGTACAGAAGGCTCTGATTTATGGGATAATTATTCAGGTATCTGGACATATCCTGTCTGACTTTAAAGGTTCATGATGTGCTGACAAGAATAAAGAACCTCTCCATACAGATAAACTCTTGTATCCCTGAAAATCAATGTCCTTCTTCTCCACTAAAGGCATATTTCCTCACCCCAGTGCAGTGCTGCCCAGGCATAAATCTCTGCAAGACACTGCACAACCTGGAGATTACAAGACGCCAGGTCCCATTTATCTCGAGAACACACAGGGGCACGTCAAAACAAGCCTGTACAATTCACGGCAAGTGGCAAGCAGTTTTCAGTACAGATTTCAGCACTGCACAAAAGTGCAACACTGATGTTGACGCACTATATGAGCTGCCCATCCGAGAGCTGGCCCTGGGAGAGATGCGAGAGGATAACCAAGATAAGAGATTCTCAGCTGCGTGAATAATAAGCATTTGTTCTCTTGCTTGGCCACTCTGACTTTGCAAATCACCTACTGTACTTTTCTCAAGTTAATCTTTATCCTCAAAACCATGATAGTGACCAGATTGAGCGTACGAGATTCACGTCCAACAGCTCTGCCTCAATACGCATTCTTTCTCATTCACATAGCTGAATTCCTCTATGACATGACTCCACACTGTACATATTCCTATAAGGAAAGGGATGTTTGCTCGTGCAAATTATTAACAGAAGATCTGAATCCTGTTAAGACTTGACTTGATAGTTCAAGACCCCACGTGGCACCAGGCTGAGGAAAAGAGCTGTTAGGAAAACTGGAACAACAGAACACTCCACATACCTTCTGGACTCGGAACACACTAACTGGACTCACAGGACACTGCCTGGACTATAAATCGTTAGTCATTAATGTGCATCTTTTTTATTTTGCTTATTCTTTCTTTGACCTTATTCCACTTTTCAGGATTTGCACCAGTAAAACTCCTTGACTTCCTTCACTCTAATACTGGACATCCTGTTGTGCCATTTCTTAATACGACATCATCCTGTCAAGGCCAATGATTGACATCGTAGAGATTTCTACACGAGCGACTGATTCAGCAAGTGAATGCTATGAGTCCCGTGTCCGTGATGTCGATCAAATAGTGTTCCTGATCTCCTGTGAGGAGGCTTTTATGCACCAGCAGTAAGCTGCTCTATCTCTGGAATGGATCCACACTAATTTGGAGGTAGTCGGATACAAACCTGCCGATGAAGTCGTCTCTTTTGCCAGCGTCTCTGTCCCAGACGGTGATGTCGATCATGCCGCCCAGCTCGTCGTACAGGTGGAAGTCAAACTGCTCCCGCCACTGCGGGTTCAGAGTTTTGGCTATCGTCTGGAAGGAAGAAGAAGGATCATGGGGCATTTAAATACACAGCATGTTATTTTGGTCTGAACAAAACTCTGTTAATTACAGCACAGAGAACATCAGACTGCTAGAGATGAACCGCTGTTCATCCTGATGTGGTTTCCAGCACATTATGGACCTTTTGCCTTATGGTGTTATCTGCACGGAGTATACACGCCCCATGCTCATCTGGGTTCCCTCTAGGTGCTCCGGTTTCCAACCACGGTCTACACACGTACTATACTCTAGGTTATGTGTGTCTGTGTTTCTGCATGCCCTGCGATGGACTGGTGTCCCATGCTGGGTGCACCCTGCTTTGCACCTGTTGCTTGCTCAGACAGGCTTCAGCTAATCTGAGACCTTGAATTAGTTAAAGCACTGGCATTCCTTCTGGCATACAGTGCAGTCATACGTACTGGGACATTTAAGGCTGTGAAGCCTCTGGGGTTTTACCTTGCTCTTGTACTTCTGGTGCCCCAGCCTGAATTTGACATAGGGGTCACTCAGGCCATTTTTGTCCATGGGCTTCAGGTCGTGACCCTCAATCAGGCTGATGCTGACGATGCCCCTCCACAGCTGGGCCTTCCTGTGCAGATCAGACAGCCGCAGGCTCTGGTTCTGGTGCTTCAACACAGAGACTACAGCCATTACTTCACCAGTGACACAGACTACAGCCATTACTGCACCAGTGACACACACACTATAGCCATTACTGCACCAGTACACCAGTAAAAACTAGATCATTGCCATTATTACACTAGTGACACAGATCACAGGCATGATTATACGAGTATTGCAGATCTCGTAGCCATTATTACACCAGTAACACATAGATCACAGCCATTATTACACCAATGACACAGATCACAGACATTATTCACCAGTGAGCTGCACCTCAGTCAATATGTCACAGTATAATATGGAGACCAGGAGCCGTGGTAGCTCAGAGGGCAAGGGCGTCTAGCTCCTGTCTGGAAGGTCCCGGGTTCAATCCCAGGTAGGGTCAAGCGATCTAGTTTGCTCTAATTCCTTCCAGACGGCTCCCGAGGTAAACTCAGCCTGCTTTCCAAATGAGTACGGGGGGTTAATCCTTCTGGGGGTAACAGGCCAGCCAGAGTGTGATGCTGACCACATCACCCCCAACTCCAGTGTCGGAGGGCTGAGAAAAATGGTGGCCTAACCCTAACCCCCCATTCCCCCATGGGGCTTGATGCCCTGAAAAGGGACCTACCTACCCATAATATGGAGTCCACATTGATGACTACAAGAGTGAACTTTACACCTGGTGGTACTCTACTTGGGAATGAAGACTGCACCAATTAGTACGACAGTACACTGCACTAAGAATGGTGCTTCAGTGTTCTAGGGATCACAGCCTTTGCTGCACAGCTCACTGAACCTCAGACCACTGATATTATTTTCCACAATTAACTCCTCAGCACCAATATAATGGCTTAATGTCACCAAAGACCACGGGATTATACAACCAACAGATTGACAGGGTAAGGAAAAGCCTTTTTCAGTGCACTAAAACATACTGTAGCACCAATCAAAACTGGGCAACAGGCTACAGTATACTATGTGTATATCATTGGACAAAGCATCTTCCTGACATGGAATAACTATCACAAATTTTCTGCTAATTGTTACTGTTCTGTTACCACTAATTCATTGGTCTTGCCAATAAAGCTCTTTTAATTTGAAACAACTGACAGTAGGAGCTGGAGCTAATTATTAATTAGTCGCCTATTTGTAACGAACTCCTGAACATGCAACATTAATTGATGTGCTCTGGATTGACTTATTTTAACCTGTAATATTGAAAGAAATTCTCCTTTGTAAATAACAGATTTTTTGCCGGTTTGTCTTAAGTGTTTCTAGCTTGAATGACACTGAAACTTAATACAATAAGCAAAACTGGTTACAGAGTAAATAAACTCACAAGCCACTTGAGTATAACATTAATCACATTTCTAGGATTTTGTCTTTGAAATAATTTATTCTTAATGAGCCCTTATTAAGACACCACAATATTTAGAGACTATCTAGATAATATCTAGAGAAAGTGTGCCGAAAATAATGAGGAAAAGTGCTTGACTGCAAGACACACACAAGTTAATCAGCTGAGTGGGCACATTATCCTTTTATCCTTTGGGGATAAAAATACTTCTGTAACTTATTTATTTTTCCAGAGGTTCATGAATGACTTGGGCCTTTTTGACTGTGTTGAAGGTGGATTTTTCCTTCAGTTCAGTTTTGAGCATGCCCTCTGAAGCACGACCAGGAAAAGACAGCTGAGAGGAGTTGCTCTTCCTGTTGCTACATACTGTACATATCCACCCAGTGAAGCTAAAGACACATATCACACCAATTATAAAACAATTAACCATATTACACAGAATGCAAAGTGCTGCTTTCTGTTCAGCAAAGAAATAGTGCTTTCAAAAGGGAAGCCTCAACAGCATGTAGTCCTTTTCTGCATTAATAATCTGGTTATTTCACCTCTTCAAGAGCATCAAATGTACAAAGATGCTTTGAAGCACTGCATATTTTGATGTCAATATTGACAGGGAACTGTTAGTCCCGGGTTGAACCCAATGTGGAGCTTCGAATCAGTAAGCAATACATCAGGTGTCCTCTGTCTTTAGTAATAAAAACAAGCTGCAAATTTTCTAGCACCTTTCAAAGCAATCACAGTGCTGCATGTGTGCAATTAAAATAAAGAACGTGCAGCAAAATAATTGACGAAACCTTGCATGTGCAACATGTCTACTCATCTGTTCTCTGTCATCTATTATATTTTTTACCAAAAGAAAATAGATTAAGTTTACAGGTACCTCTTTTAACAAATGTACCACATGCATGGCTAAACACAAGTGAAATCAAGAGATTCAAAATTTCGACGTGGTGACTCAAGGGTCTGAGCCCCAGATGAGACACATGTTGGGCGAAAGGGATCTTCTCATACAGTGCATGCAGAGATGAGAAGAGGGGCTCAGGCCCCAGACAGCACCAGGCTTTGTGCTGAATGAACAGAAACAATCCAGACGATGAGAAGAGGAAATGGGAGAGTTTGAGGTGTGAGTCATACCTCTCTGCTCCTTCTTGAGCTTGCTCTGGTGTTGATAGATTGAGCTCAATGATTTATCCCACCAAGTCCCATGCTGGACTAAACAGCCCATTAATTTCCTTGGCCAAGTGCTGTGATCTGGTTTTTACTCAATGTTTACTGCTGCCTCTCACAGCGCTGCCCAAAGACGGGACATTGTCTGTCCTCTCAGGCAGGACAAAGCTGCTAACAAGAACTCTTGCTCAAACACCTCACAATGACAGGGGTGTTAGAAACTGAGCATCAGGTTGAAATGGTAACATGAAATAAATTCATTTTTTATAGCAATAGCAGTTTTAGAATCCTTTCACCTATCCTATTTGGGCGTGAAACCTTCCCGCGACCTTCTGCAGTGTGGTAAGATACACAGGTGACAGTGCAGCCTGGGAGCACTCCCCAGCACTGCTCCTGCTCCTGCAGGCAGAGAGGTATTATGAAGGCCTGGTCCACCAGTTTCCAGCCTGCTTAAGAGTGACAGCTGCAATATATTAATCAGTAATAGGTTTATTCCATGCTGAAAAAAAGAAGAGAGAAAAAACACAACGTTTTGGCCGTGGAGCACACCAGAAGAAGGCTTTTTTTTAGAAGCTGTTTTTTTCTCTCTTCTTTTTTTCAGCATGGAATAAACCTATTACTTGTTCCTTTGCAGCCTACGCATGCTGACGCAGCTACCCACCTGATATATTAATCAGACTGAGTATTGCTTGCTTGCTTTTTTAAAAGCAACAAGGTCTTAGTCTTTGGATCAAAAATGAAAAACAAAAATGACACTGCACACTTGTACTGAAAATAACAATGCGTGAAAACTTCTGATCTAGTAGCAGTAATTGATATACAAAATCAGGAGGGATCTCTTAGGATATGACAAACAGGTATATTGTAGTATAGTGCACACAGCTACAAATATAAAACAAGGGTTTTAACTTTGGTTTGGTAGCTATCAAGCTATAGTACTGTAGCTCCAGTATGTTGTAAAAACAGCTTAAACAAACTCTCAGATCAGTGCCACTTCTGATAAAGCTGATAAACAAAAAAACAAAAACAGCTCCTCCAACCAGCCTCCTGGCAGGCTCATTCTGGGCCTTGGCTCTCCCCACTTCACTTTCCCCTGCCCCAGTGTGAACTAGACGAGCTTTGCTCATGAGGCTTATTGAAGGCTTGTGTGTATTTTTATGACCCCTCTCAAACAGTAGGGTTGATTACAAAGTAGCACTGTGGCCAAGGGCTACTTTTCAAACCTCCTCTCACTTTGGTTTCTTGTTTTATTGTGTTAATTTAGCTATGACACGGAATTACTGGCACTTGTGTCTGGACAGCACAAATGGATCCTCAGGTAGGTGTTGTTTAAAATACTGTACTGGATAATATATTGGCACTATAGTGTTTCACCAAATTAAAGCTCCGTTCTTTTGTTGCAATTATTAAAAATGGCTGGCGTCACTGACACTGACACTGACGCTCACACTAACCCTGACCCTCACACTGACACACTGACACTGACACTGACGCTCACACTAACCCTGACCCTCACACTGACACACTGACACTGACACTGTCGCTCACACTGACACACTAATGCTCACACTGACAC